TATTTACATTTAAACTAATGTTCTTGTCTATGTTGTTATTACAGCATCATGCCTGTCAATCTAGGCAACCTTCAGGCAATTTCAAACTGAATCCTTTATTATGTGGCTAGTTCTCATTCTGCTGACCAGGTCTCAGAATATTTTGTCTTCTTATTTAATACTGCTTACCTTGTGTCCACTGTCTGAACTACCCAGCCCAGGGAGTGAACTCACAATTATTATATTACCATTTCATGAACCAGTCCACTAGCCTATCCTGTTGGTCAGTTAATACAAAATCAGACTCAGTGGCAACAGGGTGAACAATAATTGCTTAGTACTAAAAAACAAAACAAGAGGAGTTATCCTAGATATGGACACCAGAATGAGAACAATCTACCCTTGTAAATTAAATAAAGGGTTCAGCTGAAAGTTAAATCAGATCAATAGACATCTGAAGAAGGCCAAGATGGCACAATGGCTGAAACACTGTAATCATAACAACAAAGATGAGGACATTAGTCTGAATGCAAATAATATTATTATGTATTTATTTATATAATAACAGTCACTTTTCCACTGCCATAAAGTTGCTTCCCTGTACCTTTTCTATAAATACTTTTATGGTATCAGGTCATCCCATAAGTTCTGTCCGAATTTTAACTTTTTGTTAAAATGAACAAAATTTAAAGAGTATTTTATAATGTCTAATGGAGCTGAACATTATTTTTATGTTTAGATGCATTTAAACAGATCAAATTTTATTTCAGAGAACAATAAAATTAAATTTTGTTTGATTAAAACCCTGCTAACATGGAAGTACCCAAGAATCATTTGAGGAACATAATGCTTTATGAGTTCAAGAAAGGAAACTCAGCAGCCGAAGTGGCTAGAAACATTCACTCAGTTTATGAAGAGGAATGTGTGAATGAAAGAACTTGCAGAAGATGGTTTACAAAATTCAGAGGTGGAGATTTCACCCTTGAAGATGAAGATCGAACCGGACATCCAGTTAAGTTTGATGAAAAGCTTCTTGAAGCAGCCTTTGAAGAAAATCCTGCTTTATCAGTTGATGAATTGGCAGTGGTTCTCAGTTCAAACCATACAACTGTTCATCGTCATCTTCAACAACTTGGAAAAGTACCTAAACTTGGAAAATGGGTGCCTCATGAATTGTCTGAAAACAACCTCAAATCCCGAGTTGACATCTGCTCTTCTCTCCATTCTCACCAACTTGTTTCACCTTTTTGGATAGATTTGTGACTGGTGATGAAAAATGGATCTTTTATCGAAATGTTAAGTGTCGTAGACAGTGGCTTGGTAAAGGGGAAGGACCCCAGCCACAGCTGAGAAGGGAACTTCATGGGCAAAAGGTTCTTCTTTCAATCTGGTGGGATCGCCAAGGAATAATCCACTTTGAATTCTTACCACCTAATGCAACAATTAATGCTCAGATATACTGTCATCAATTAGAGCGTTTGAACCAAGCTTTGAGGGAAAAAAGACTTGCTCTAGTGAATCGAAAAGAGGTGATGTTTCATCAGGACAATGCATGACCCCACACAGCAAGAATCACGTCACAAAAGATCGAAGAACTTGGTTGGGAGAAAATTCCTCATCCATCTCATTCTCCCAATTTTGCTCTTTCAGACTACCATTTGTTTCATAGCTTACAGAATCATTTGGAAGAAACAGCTTTTGTAACACAGGAAGAGGTTAAAACTGACATTTGTGAGTTCTTCGAATCAAAGCCAAAAGAATTTTACAGTAATGGAATTAGTAAGCTTGTTAATAGATGGAAAGTCATAGATAATCAGGGAAAATACATTGTTGATTGAATCTGTAATTAAGTGTAATATTTGGTCACTTGTTTTCTTTATTCAAAATTTGGACAGAACTTATGGGATGACCTGATAATTGTTCAGATAAGCTTTCCTCTGTAGTACTGAGACGTTATGAATATAAGCGCAGTTCTAGACTGGCAACAAGGTCTCATTGATACACAGTTGAGGTGTCTGCATGTAACCATAAGTTCTATGCTAACAGTTTCTTTTCTCACACTTCTCACATGTGGAACTTCCATCCAGCTTCATGCTTTCCAGTTGACTTTAATCCTAAAAAATTTAAATTCAATGGAAATTGCTATCTATTCTCCTCCTGATTACTCTTCTGTACTCCTTAGTATCGTTTCTGTTTTCTCATTCTTCAACATCACATAATCCCTTGTGTCTCAGTGATTTTAATGCCTTGCTTAAGGTGAACTTAATTAAAAAAAAAACTGCTCAAGTCTACACTAGACAAAATCTCAGGTAGAAATGTTCTCATTTGGAATTAATTCAGCTTCATGATATATAATGATAAAGTGTGAAAATTTTTTAAAAAAGTGTAATATGAAGTTGATTATTTGGTTTAGCTATTTACTGAAAATTGTCAGCATTACAGGAATGATTACTCAGATTCAGGAATTTTATAAATATCCTGCAATTAAATATTTCCCCTGTAATACTAAATAAAAATCAATTTAAAGATTCACCATGGCACCCAATTAAGTTAAAACACACTCAATAATAAATATGCAGCCATAACTGAATCTTTTAAAGTTTAATTCCAAGTAATAACGGGAATATATTCAGAAAATTACATAAACAAATAGAATACCAGCTAAAAGAAGCCAATGTAAAAATAATTTTAGCATCTTCTATATTATAATGAAGTAATTTCTATGTTTGTGTCTGTAACACAGAAAACACTGCACATTGTAGCTTTTCTTTTCTTCTTTTTATTTGCCATGTCCTTTCAGGATGTAGGCAATCATGGCTCTCCTCTCCCTCTATCGCTTACAGCTCTCAACAAGTTCCTTTCCTCTACTTCCTGTCCTAGACCACATTCTGAGATCCACCTGCCCAAGTCTGCCAGGTATGTCATATGCTGTTTTCCTTTGTCTTTATTCGACCCATGAGTATCAGATTCTTCAAGCCTTCCTTCCTCATTATGTGTCCCAGAAACTTCATCTACCTCTTCCTGATGTTAAGTATAAGCCTCCACCTTGTGTGCATCCTCTCTAAGACGTCATCACTGCTCACACGCTCGGTCCATGATATTAGCATCCTTCTAGTGCAGTACTTAATTATGTAATACTGTTAAAATGCACTTACAAAAGCAAACTTCTATCCTAATTGAAATACCACTTTGTTTTTATTTTTTAATTAAATCTAAAATGTCTTTCCAAGAGATATAACTCTTTGTCTATTCTCTCATTTTCATGAGTATTATTAAAAAAAAAATAAATAAAATAAGAGGTATTGATTGTTTTTTTACGCTTTATCAACCTTTTATTTAAAGCCAGAAAATATTTTTGGATTGTAAGAGTTTTTTGGCGATAATAATGATTTTTCTGATACAAGTGCTAATAATTAACCCATAGCTGTTGGGGACAGTAGGTAGATTCATAGCTTTCATAAGGATATTTGTATGTGAATCTAAAAAGAAAACTGACTGGAATTAGAACTCAGCACTCTGATTTTCAATTTTGAGCTGTTATCCATTACACCACATGCACATCTAAGCTTACATAACATGGTATTTCCTGTAACTCATCTAAGTACTGGACAGGCTTAATGTTGCTTAACTTTGGTGATCATATAAGAATTAGTATGTGAATGTGATATGGCCATAACCTGAAAATAAGAGTAATAAATAAGAAAGAGTCCTTGGTATGTCTTCATCGGCCATAGAGATAAAACCACTGATGATGCTATAATGATAACAAACAAAACAATACTAATATATTCTCTGAAGTTTTTGGCGTGAAGAAAATACCCTAATAATTTTAATAATTCAAAATCTAAAGGTATGAAATCAGGTGAGTAAGTTTGTTAGAACACTCCAATTTAACACTTGGTTCTCAACTATTAAAGTTACTTATGAAAGATGTGTAAAACATTCTGGCCTAATATGATCTCTGATGTGTGACTGCTTAAGAGATCGAACAATAGGAATATTTCTCTTCTTTAGTTATAATATTAATATATATTTTTCTTGATATTCATAATATATAAAGCTAATTACATAAGTTTAAATGACTTGTTCATCTGTTGATGATTACCAGTGAAAGAATACCTCAATCTACCTCAAGATGAACTCCAATTAAGACTAGAAAGAATGGTAGGAACAAAACCACCTGACAAAAGGCACTGTTGACAGAATAGAAAGAGATGAATATACTACAATTACCTTCATCATTTACTAAAAAATACTTTTAAATATACTATTTTTACCTTCATTATTTGGTAAAAATAAATTAGGTTTGGATATACTATGATTATCTTAATACACTCATAGAAGTGTCAAGGGAATAACCATCCTTTTGACACAGTTTTTTTTGCAGGGACAAAGGTTAAACATTGTTGAGTCCTGATTATGAAAGCTACTTTTTAAAAAGTTTTTATTCCATTGTTCTTTCCTAATTCCTAAATAACTAAATAGTATCAAGCAAGCTTAGGCTATGTCATCTAACTTGTTTCTCTATTGCAAGTCAAATTAGTATCTGAAATCAACCCAGCTATATCACAGTCTACAAGGCGAATAAAACTGATTCATTATCTTTACTGTTTCAATAATGTAGCTGAAGCAATCTCAACAATAAAGAAAGAAATGTAACCAGTGACAAATTAAAGAAAAAGCCTTTGATTACTCCTTAGGCAACCTATTTAATAAAGAGAAGGAATTTACATTGATTCAATCTGTCTCAAATACCCCAATCTGCAATCCACCCTTCATGGCTAACTTGCAAATGCTTTAAGGTATTGTGCTAACCTCTTCTGCATCATTAATAAATCTCAGAGAAGAATTCAAGTAAATTCACTGGCCACAAGTGTTTACTCTTTTCTACATGTTTATTCTGGAAATCTCTTAATTTGTGACTTTGCCTTTAGCAGATTTTTCATCCTTATTTATAAACTCATATGATTTCCTCTTTATTCTATTTATTGCTATTTTTTCTTTATCTTATTTAAAATGTCATGCTTTTGTTTTTTTTTATTCTACTTTCTATTTCTTGCTATCTATCTTTAATCTTATTTACAAAGACGTTTTCTTTTTTTATTCTACCTTCGATTTTGTTTCTTTCTTTTATCTTACTTACAAATACGCGTTTTCTTTTTTATTCTGCTTTTGATTTCCTTTCATTCTTTTATCTTATTTACAAAGACACATTTTCTTTTTTATTCTACTTTCGATTTATTTTCAATTTTTCATTATTTTATTTACAAATACAGGTTTTCTTTTTTTTATTCTACTTTCTATCTTTCTTTATCTTATTTACAAATACAGGTTTTCTTTTTTATTCTACTTTCTATCTTTCTTTATCTTATTTACAAAGACATCTATTTTCTACTTTCTATTTTTTCTAAATATTTGGGATGAGAAATTATTGTTATATATATATATAATGTTTTATTGGGACTGCTTTTCTCATTTTAATTTTTAATATTACAATGTTTTGGACTTTGTCAGGTGGTTTTTCATCCAGGTCACCTTCATGGAATTTCTAACTGAACATTTATTTAATCTATAGATTTTCTTGTTCCCATTCCCCTGTTCATGTCTGGAGGTATCTCATCTTGTTCTTATTTGGTACTGCCATTTTACTGCTCACCCAATTTCTACTTAGTATAAATCTGCACTACCTGGCCTAAGGATCAACCTTGCAATTACTATATCATCAAATTTATGATCCAACGCTTTAATATACTACATTTTTGTCCTGTGGGACAATCCTGAGTCCAGAATTTAGAGGCTTACACTCATGCTGCTGAAGCCTTGTATTCATTTCTCTTTATTTATTAACAGCTCCATATTTTATTCTACTTTCTATTTTATTTGGACAATTTTCTATCTTTCTTTGTCTTATTTATCAAATGATATGTTTCTCTAGACAAGTGTTTGTTTTATTTACACATATGAGGTCTGTCTGAAAAGTAAAATGACTGTCCACGCTGTATGAGCTATCAGTGTAAGATGGATAAGCAGACTGTGTTAAAATCTAACATGATATTTTTGGAGTATATAATGGTAATCTGAGCTTTCTGCAACCAATCCATTTTTTGTCACATGCAAGAGTTGTAGCAGGACAAGTCATTGCTGCTTCTCCATGAAAATGCACCTACTCAAAACGCCCTGAGTATCCGGCAGTTCCTGACCAAAAAGAACATCGCAGTACAGGAACAAGCTCCCTATTCACCTGAGCTTGCTCCCTGTGACTTTTTCTTTACCCAAAGCTCAAGTGGATCATCAAGGGGAGCCATTTTAAAGGTATGGAGGCCATCAAAAGAGCTGTAATAATGGAGCTGAGAGTCATCCAAGAAGAATCCTTCCAGCAATGCATAGGAGTGTGTCAGAGAAAGATGGAAAAGGGCATTAGACTTGAAGAGGCGTTACCTTGAAGGAGAAACTGTGTAGTTTGTTGTTTGGAATTTAAATTGTTTGTGACACCAGTCCCGTTACTTTTCAGACAGACCTTGTATTCTTGATTATTTCTTTTAATGTACCATGTTATTTCAGGATGTAGGCGATTATGGCTCTCCACCTCCCTCAATCCCTTGCAGCTTTCAACAAATTCCTTACCTCCGCTACCTCCCCTAGACTATGTTCTATCAACCACTTGCTTAAGCCCAATACTTTCTCTAATTCTTTTCAGATATTTTTATTTGTATTTTTTTCTTCTTTCATTCCTTCTTGTTTCATTCTGGATTGTTCTAATTATGTTCTATATTCATTGGTCTTGTGCCAGACAAACCAAAGCATAGTAAATATTGATATATCTTACCTTTTTTCTTTTTACTTTCTTTTTCTATTTCATTTGTTCTTTCTTTGCTCTTTACAAGAATCAAAATATTGCCCCTAGTTTTTTCATCCTGCCATCTTTGTCATTACCCTCATTCTTCCTTCTTATCTTTCCCAGACCCCAATTTCTTTTACATCCACAAGTCATTGTTAGGTCCCACTCACCAAACCCTACTTTCCTGAAGAGTGTAGATAAGATCTATCTCAACATACCCTTTCAGCAACCCTGTCATGTACACATCTCTTCACCAATTCTATGCAAACACTTGTTAGTATTCATTGCACTGTAGTCACCAAAATATATATATACTAATACATGCCTTCAATTTGCTAGGATCAACATATTTGCGTGAATGTGAATATATGTGCTCTTTTTCAATGAATAGATAACAATAAGAACATGAACAAACATATACATGCTCCCAGGTAGATGAATACATGTGACGGCATACACAAACAAAATATTTATTCTGCTGTGCAATGCTGATAAGCATGATATATAGTCTTTTTCTACAACACGGTTCCTCTCTCTTTTATACCAATTACTTGCTTTACATGGTATCTCTACATAACATTTTTCTCTTATTTTGATTGAGTCACTCATTCTCTCTAACTCACTCAGTTACTCTTTCATTATCGTCCAATCATGCTTTTTCTTTCCCCCTCTCTCTCTCTCTCTGCTTTATTATTTCTTTTTTTTTTATAGTCCAGCCATACTTTCTCTCTCTCAGACATTTTCTTTCATTAATATTCTATTTCACTTTTTTTTCCTTTCTATCTCTCTTTTATTATGTATTTCTTTATTGCTCAGTCTTACTTTTTCTCTCTCTCTCTCTCTCCTTCATTAACAATTTCTTTGTAGTCTACTCTTACTTTCTCTTATATTCTTGCTACTTCATTATCTGGAATCCAACTTTTTCTGACTCTCTCAGTTTTTCATAGTTTCTTTCATTAGAGTCCATTCCAACTTTCACTCTCTCTCTCTCTCTCTCTCTCAGTATTTCTTTCTTTATAGTCCCTCCCTCTCTCTCTCTCTCTCTTATCATTATTTTCATTATAAGTCAATCTAACATTTCTCTCTCTCTCTTATCATTATTTTCATTATAAGTCAATCTAACATTTCTCTCTCACTCTCTCTCTTATCACTATTTTCATTATAAGTCAATCTAACATTTCTCTCTCTCTCTCTCTCTCATCATTATTTTCATTATAAGTCAATCTAACATTTCTCTCTCTCTCTTATCATTATTTTCATTATAAGTCAATCTAACATTTCTCTCTCTCTCTCATCATTATTTTCATTATAAGTCAATCTAACATTTCTCTCTCTCTCTCATCATTATTTTCATTATAAGTCAATCTAACATTTCTCTCTCTCTCTCTCTCTCATCATTATTTTCATTATAAGTCAATCTAACATTTCTCTCTCTCTCTCTCTCTCTTATCATTATTTTCATTATAAGTCAATCTAACATTTCTCTCTCTCTCTTATTTTAGTCCAATTGCACATTTTGCTTCTCTCTCATTATCTCCAGTTATACTCCAATCCCATATTTCTCTTCCCTCTTTGCCTCACTTCTTTTTTATCACATTCATTATAGTCCAATCCCACTTTTAATCACTCTCTCTCTCTCTCTTCTATCTTTTTCATTATAATCTAATCCTATTTTTCTCTTTCTCCTTTATTATATATACCTCTGCTTTGTATGCACTTGTCAGATGCTAATTTGCCAGACTGCTATCTATAACAAAGTAATGATAATAATAAAGCAAGAATAATCCCACATTGAATACTTTAATAATACATTATCAATATGAAGATTAATAATAATAATATTTAACTAATATTTTTAAGAATACATTTTAATAATAAATTTTTAATTACAAATAAGTATTCTTTACTGACGGTAGCTTAGATTTGGTATGAGGCCAAAAGCATTGAATACTAATAATGATTTGAAAGACTAGCTTGGTAATGGCTATAGTACAAAAGGGTACCTAACAACTACATAATCAGCCAATACAGAAAATTAGGCCAGAAGAATAGGCATGGTTGGGAACAATATAACTGCATTTTGTTTATACAAATCAATGAGACAGGCAAAGAGCAAAATTTACCCTAGAGAATGAAATGTATATAATCCTTTGAAACACTGATATTCAAACAAGTTACCTAATCCTGGTCAGAAGGCCATAAGAACAAATCACCCAATCTGGGCCAGAAAAACAGATCACCTAGTTTGAGCCAGAAAAACAGATCACCCAATCCAAGTGAGAAGACCTGGTCACCCAATCTAGGCCAGATGACTGAATTTGGTAGTCTTTAGCAAGATGAAGGAAACTTGCCAGATATGAGATTCAGATTATTTTGGCAAACCACAGAATAAACTTCAAAGAAAGTGAAAAGGGGGAGGTCTATCTTAATTTTGCGAGAAACTAAAGCCGCAGAATATAAAGGTTATGGTTGTGTTGATCATTACTGAAGCACTAGGAACACTCCCAAAGATCCAAGAAGAAAAGGGTGGTAGGATTGAAAATCAGGGGATGAATCAGGACCGACGTTGAAAATAGTTCAGCATTATTGAAAATAGATCTTTTTTATGCACTGTGCCTCTTCCTGATATTGATGATCATGGCTCTCCACAACTTCCTATCCTTCCCAGTCCCTGTTCTGCGATCACTTAATACAAGCTTATTAAGTAGGTAACTCAATATTTCCTTCTGTCTTGCGTGGCTTCAGTATGTTCTGTGAGCATTAAATTTGCAAAGCCATCTTTCCCAGGAATTTCAACTGTCCCATTCTCATCCTCAGTACAAAGTTCATTTACGTGACAGAGTAGGAACAGTCATATATTGGAAACTGTACAATAAATTGTGTTTGAACAATGAAATAAATCATATAAACACAAAGTAGAGGTTATCCAAAAAAATAACAAAGAATACAACACTCTGGGATTTGATATCTAAAATGACTGTTCCATCCAAGTAAAAAACTTGATTTGGTCATTGTAAACAAGGTAAAGAGGGTCTGTCAGATCATACATATATGAGAGGGTGGCTGAAAAGCTTTTGGTCCAGCCCACTTTCCAAAATTTGACCAAACATCAGGAATTCTTTTTTTTTTAAATCCCTTCTTTATCAGGCAAATAACTTTTCACCCCCCCCCCCAACATAAAGACAAAAACCGAGTCCAGATGTTATTTCTTCCATCACGTGGTATCAGTTAACTTTTGGTACAAGGTGCTCAAAAGCTTTCCATAATTCACTCTTTCCTGCAATTTGCTCAGCTCATACTGTGCATTGATCCAGGTTTTCTATGAAATTATTGGATTCTGTCCTCTTAGTAGCCTGTAATGTGGTTCCAAAGAAATCTCTCTAGCCTTCAGTCTTTTGGTTGATGCTAACTGTTCCTTTTCCATTATGGTGATAGTGTTGGAATTTGTCTACTCAGGTTTTTGTTTCTGAGTGTCATGATTCCAAACATTTAATGACAACACATCTTTTAAATGAAACATAAAAATGGTTATTTTCTGAAGGAAAATTAAAAGCAGAATGTCAGTTGAAATAACATTGACATATTCTTTTCAGAAATACACAATATCAATAAAATGTTCAATTTTCCTTACAGTGAAGTTTGTATTATAAAGTAATTAAATGTTTTTAGTGCATTGAAATTTATGATGGTTAGTCTAATGAATTTGTGAATTTGTAGGCAAAAGCTTAGTAGGCAATTGCTAGTTTATCCCTTCTAATTGGACAAGTCCTTAGTTGACATTTGCTGGCTCTCTCTTCCATTGTGTGTGTGTGTGAGAGAGTGTGTGTGTGTGTGTGTATATATATGTAGATCAAATTGGCCTCCCAAATTGATGTGACCCCAAGAAGAAGTATGCTTCTATTTTTATATCTGTAAAGATTCAAAATCTAATTTCACATAAAGGTGTGAATTTTTTGAATACAAGGTTTTCATTAGTTAAAAAATAATTTCACACTGGCTTGCAAAAATGTTTTTTTTCAAATTTGTGAGACTGATGAAAAGAGTTATTGTTATTTTCTCAATGGTCCAAAAATAACACATGAATATTAAACACTAGTGAGATTCAAATTCATCTGTTTTACTCAAAAAACCTATCTTTACATGAAAATGTTATTACTAATTAGGCTACAGAAACTTTTGGCTGAGGCTGTTGAAATCTAACTATATAGTGATCCTCATTTAACCTGAAAAAACTATCTTTTAACAAATGTCTATATTTCTGAGATGAAGTTTTGTAACTATTTATACAATTTACATTGTTTGAACTGTTGTCCTAATCTTTATTCTCACATTCACAACATTTTGGCTGTTGTATACTCTGGACTGCTTTGGGTGACATTTGTTTGAATTTTGAACCAAACCTAGAATATTCAATCTGTATGTTGATGTTTTTGAAGATTCAACAAATCTTCAGAAGCATCTAAATTCTTTAATCTTTATTTCAATTGGTTTTAGTTGCAACTCTCAGACCATGGTCCTTCATTCATATGTAAGCAATATGAATTTGAAATAAAGGATATGCTTCATTGAGATTCAATCTCTTTCCTTGGAAAGACTGATTTATCACAAGAGATGCTTTATGTATTAGGTCATGGAGCCTTCTGTCTGTAGTCATTCAAATCTAACCATATAGCTGTGCATTTTCTCTGATTGCTTGATGCACCATTGTTATTGTTTATATACATGCATAATATCTGAATGTATGGTAGAGTAATGGGTAGTGGCCTGGATTGAGGAATCAGAGAGCCGAGTTCGAATTCCAGTCAAATCCATTACATTCACTTACAAGCTAATACCCTTGGGAAAGGTATGAATCCTCCTCTTCTCTCCCCAGCTATGGGTAAATAGGAGGACAGACCAAGTTCTATAGACTTGAATGGCAACCTACTGTGGGAAAAAAAATCTGCCTCGTCAGTCATGTATCGAAAGATACATGATCACCTAAGCATAACCGACTGAATATATGAATTGCAATATTATTTTCCAGTCATATAGTTTATTAATAATCACATTGATAATTTGTGAGCTGTGATTAATAATTGACAATGCTTCATCTAATAAATTTACACATGATGATATAATCTTTCTTTTATGATAGAAGAAAGATTGTATGATCTTGACTCAGGTGCAACAATAATGGAAGTAGAAATTTTAAAAAGAGTAGAAGGAAGTTTTTTTCTATCTACTGTGTCTCTTCAGGACTTACGGCATCATGGCTCTCCACAACATCCTGTGCTTTGTAGTTCTAAACTATGTTTGTCTTTTTGCTGTCTCTCCTAATCCATGTTCTTCAAACTATTTACACAAACTCATGAAGTAAGTTATTTGCCACTTTCCTCTATTTCTCTTGCTTTCAGTATGCCCTATGAGTGTCAAATTCACTAAACCCTCTATCCTCATTATGTCTTCTCAAAATTTTAACTTTATCTTTCTGATTCTAGGTATAAGCGTCTTTTTTGTTTCCATTTTCCTTAAAAATTCCTCATTGCTCACATGTTAAGTCCATAGTATTCTATGCATCCTTCTGTAGAAACACATTTCTGTTGCCTCATGCCAACATTCACTGCTATATATGAGGACCAATATTATGTAACAGTTCAGCACTCTTTATTTTGTATCTAATAAAATTTTCCTGTTTCTTAATACTTCACTTAGCTTTTGAAATGCACCTTTCACTATTCCAATGACTCTTCAGAATTCAGCGTTACATTTCCCAACCTTTAAATTTCTTTGTTCAGTCAAGAAGCACTCTTCCCCTACAATACTGATGTTTGATTGTTTCGCCAAATTTAGTCAAATTTCTCAATGTTTCATCAAATATATATAAACTTCACCCAATACAAGATAGCCACTAAAGGTAGAGGGATAGAAGAGGTTACTGTTAAAATGGTTATGATGAATGAGGTGTGGGTGATATGAATGAAAGAGAAGGTGGTAAGTAGTGAAGATTATGAGGATAAAGAGGATTGACCTTTGATCTGAAAAGATTAAAAATACAGCATTCTAGGAAGTATATATATATATATATATATATATATATATATATATATATATATGTGTGTGTGTGTGTGTGTGTGTGTGTGTGTGTTTGAATGAATATGAAAGCTGATTTTGAATTGGAGATAATATGTGAGTGTCAAATACTCCAAGCCCTCTTTCCTCATGAAATTTCAATATTCTCCTTCTGATTCTAAGTGTTTTTTTAGTTTACATTTCCCTTCTTACTTGTATATTAACTTCATGGTATTCTCAGCCTCTGTCTGTAGAACTGCATTTCTGTTGTCTTAAGTCTTTTCTTTCTCTATTTTCCAGTATTCTCTGCCATATTGAAGGACCAATATTACATAATATTTCAACACTCTAGACTGAAATCTTCAAATTATCTGATAGAAGACTAGTAAATTTTGGCTTATATAGTTTATTTGAACCCAGCAAATAGCTGCTTGCTGTCTGCCTGAATTTTAAGGGGATTAAAAGAAAAAGAAAGTGAAAAATGAGAAAAAACTGATGAAGTTAAAAAGCAAGAAGAGAGCAAGGCTGATTAAAGTGGAAGAATGATAGAAAAAAAAATGAAAGAAGAAAATCAAAATGAGAAAAATTTCAAGTAAAGAGCAAAAAATAATAGATAATAAAATATTTTAAAAAATGAATAAAAAGAAATAATGTTTGAAAGGATATTTTAAAATAGTATAACGGAAAAAGATAATGTAGAGTAAAAGAAAGACTGCTACAAAGCTAAGATGGGAAGAAAAACTAAAATGTGAAAAATAAGAATAGAGAAGGGAAAAGAAATTGTATGAATAATTAAATAAATGACAGGAATACTTTTAAAAAATGATGACTAGGGAATTAAAAAGAAAAATAAAGAAAAACCTTACAATGATATAAATTAAAACATTTAAACAAATTCTATCATGTTTATTCATATCACAATTCTTTGGCTTCAACTCTATCCAACAATTATAACCTTAAATATTTAAATTTTATTACTTTTAACAATTTCTTTAAAAATAAAAAAAATGTTAGATTTATCAGAATTCAAACACTGAAGCTGAGGTCTTGATCATAAACATGCAGAAGACAAATTCTATGTCACAAAAATTATTTTTTTTATCCTTCTGGAAATTTATACATTAGAAAAATTCCTTCATTTGAAATTCAAGATTAAAATAAAGAGAAAGAAAGAATTAAAAATATTTTTATTAATTTTTCAAGTGTCAAAAACCTTAAATTTAAATATTTAATTTTGACTTTAAATTTTAGAATTGAAAATTTTCCATTCACCTTAAAATTTGAAATTTAAATTCAGAAACATGAAAAATTTCAAACTCAAACCAATTTTCCTCCAACCATTGAAAATTAGTTGTAAGATTTTTTTATTCTCTGATTTTAATTTTAAATATTTCACTTAAAATTCTCAAATTATATTTAATTCTTTTAAGTTGAATTAAATGTTGAAGTCAACATTCAATGAAAACAGATTTCCAATTTAAATTCAATAAGGAAAGTATTCAACTGGATGCCATGTTCTAGAGCAATGGTCCACTCACCTTACAGAGTATTATGATTAAAATACATTAATTTCTCACTTTATTGCTCCAACAATGCAACCATGTGTCATACATACTAAACTGATCCTAGTAATCTATTCTGGTTACACAACTGTTGGTTGGGGGAGCCTGATTAGGGGCCCCAGACAGTGCTTTGTGGTCCTCACTATGTTATCAACATTTACTTTTTTGCCTACATTTATATAAGTTAAAAATTAAACTAAGCACAAATGTCAATTAAAAGAATGGAATATTTTGAGGGATTTTAGCATTATCCTGGGGTCTTTTATTTTTGTTCAAATCCATAAATTTGTTTAGCTCATGCTAAGTCTTGGAAAAAACACTATACAAATTTCACTATTTTTTATCCATAATGCTGACCGTATTAGAATTCTTCTTTTTCAAAAAAATCTCAAGAAAAATAGAGAATATAGAAAAAAAAAGGTTTTCTTACAATGTACAACTTAATACAAGGTTAAGAAAACATTCATTTTCCTACCTAAAATATTTTTTCTTACCTTTAGATCTGCAAATCTTTTCATGGCACTTTCTACACCTATCTTCTTTACAAGACCATTACCTGTTGATGAATTAGCCAAGAATTTAATCTGTCTTGAGGCATGGATGACGGTAAGTATGTTTTTATAAGCTTTAGTTTATTAAAACTTCTCCCTCCAGTGGCCACAGTAATGGGTATAGTAAGCATTATTTTCAATACAACCCACAAATTTGGCACGACAACCTGTAACTTATTAGTGTTCATGAACTTAACAATTTCTATTGGAAGCTTTACATCTTCAGAAAATAATTCTTTTGCAATATTCAGTTCAGTCAAAAGATCACATCCATTAATATCACTACTTTCTTGGTACCTTAACTTATCCTCCAAACGTTGACATGCTACTTTGAGTTTATTTTTATCTTGCAGATCTTTTGTGTTATTTAAAAATCCCCATGCGGTATTGAAACTTTATAACTGTTCAAATATCTCTGGTAAAGAATTAATAGCTCTGGCAGGTATTACATTTAATATTTTGGTTTTTTATTTCATTTTATTTATTATTTTCACATTTTTTTCTTTTTTGTATCAAAGATCCCAAACACATTACATAGTGGTATGACAGAACATTCGGCCTTGATGACACCCCAGATGACTACCTGAGTTGCCAGTACCTTGAGCCAGCCATGTTTCTGGGTGATAACACATATTCTAGCATGTCCAGTAGTTGCACAAGGTTAGTATGCTCAAACCTTTAGTTATAAAGATTTCATGCTTGTGCAAATACCAATAACTTCTGAGTAATTTTGCCTACCAAGTTTCCTTTGCATGGTTTGAATCAACCTGTAAAGTATGGCTTTCAGGCACTTCCTACACATGGAAATCTCTTCAGGATGACATTATCAAGAAGTCACCTACTGGAAAAATTGACCCTGGTGAGACTCAAATGCGAGTCTCATTGTTTGACTGCTAGCATGCTAAACACTCAGCTATGCACTCACAATGGCAATAGGGATTATATTAATAACAAATTCAAATAAATCTATTCATACTAAGTTCTTGTCAAACATGATAATTCATTTTTCTTAACAAGACAATCACTTTCACACTTAATATCAATTATGGAAAAAGTGAATTAGTAAAATCACAATCAAATATATTTCTTCTTTTTCTTCTTCTTCTTAAGAAGAAGACCACCAGAACCACCACCACCACCACGCCTATGGTTGGTTGGTTGGTTGGGACTCCATTGACAATCCCTTTCTATACTGTTTGATTCTGTATTGCTGTCTCCAGATCCCCAATGTCCAACCCTGAGTCCAGAACTATGATGTCTGGGAAAATCAATTTTTATGAGAAGACACTTCCAGAAGGATGCCATAGGAGTAAGGATGAGATGATGTCCCTGTCTGCTTGGTGGCAGTGGCCAGAAAACTGTAATCATTTTTTTTTTTTTAGCTTAAGAGAGATTGGTCTCAGTTCTCTGTAAACTGTGTTAAGCATTGCATGAGATTTCCAGCTGATGTTCTGTATTTTTCTAAGTAGATTTTTATATGTTCCAATCAGTCATTTTTCAAGACAAACAGATAATGTACAAGTTTCTGATCCATACAGTAGAACTGCTTCAATCAATGTTTGAAATGTTTGGAGTTTTAAGAATGTTAGAAGGTTAGAGCACCAAATCTTGTGAAGTTTGTTACATGAATCCCATGCAAGCACTTTGTGAATGTTGAAGTCTTTTTGGGAATCTGTTTTGTGAGATCCAAGATGTTTGATAACCTCAATTCTTTTGATGGATGTATTATTGAGAGACTTCAACTTGGATGGTTCAGGAGAGTTTGTGATACATTCTCTTTTACTCACATTACAATAGAGACCTACTTGGTTCACTGCTTGCTTTAGTGATTGATACATTGAGAAATTAATACAAGAAATGTCTACTGTAAAGAAACAACTAAATGGCCAGATCCTTGAGTAGAACAGCTCTTTACATATACAGGTAAACAAAAATAGAGTATGCCACTTCCATGTAGTTGAAACAACTTCATTTCCTCTGTATTCCAGATGTAAGGAGAACATTCATTTTTTTCCCTAGAAAGTCCTATTTTATGAACCAGACACCTTATACGGATACATCCCTGAACACTACAATCTTAACTTCTTCAAATCAGATGGTCTTCACTTCCTAAATTCCTATCCATTTAAAAGTAACTCTTTACCTTGAGTGACTCACGAGCATTGTACTGGGTGACCTTTAGTATAAAAAAAAAATGAAAAAGTCATTTATCCTATTATAAGCCACAGCTTTCTATTCTGATTTCTTCAGTAAATATATTGCATGAATCAAAGACCTTTTCCATACAGAAAAGTGTCTCATAAGTTCATTTTAAACATCTCTTATATAAAAATATTTGGTAATAACAGAATATAAATGCCAATTTTTGGCAGCATGAACAAATATTCAACTAAGTGATTTATTCAAGAAAGGACATCTATTTAAACTAATGGAATTTTACATTTGGCATAAGCATATAATGTTGTCTGGCAAGAAGCAAGAGAAATCATGCCCAGGGCCATTACAAATTGAATTAATTATTGGATAGGTAGAATTTACTAGTAATTTTTTTGTGCTGTTGCTTGGCAAATGATTTTCCTGCTTCCTTATGAGATGAATTAAAGAATCAGTCCCAAAATATTTGAGAGTTGTTTCTCTTCATGACTAAATAAAACTATCCTTACTTTTCTAACTTTTACTTTTAAAGACTTTATTCATCTAAAGAATTTCTGTTAGTTTTTCCATAACTCTTTAAGGAAATTAATAATGTAAATTCCAAACATTTAAGATTTTTTATTAATATTTCTTTCTTATTAATTTTAGTTGCTTATATTATACTGGTAGTAATAGTAGTAACAATATTGTCTTTGTTAACCATTATTCATTTATAATTAGTATTGCTTTCATCTTAATTTTAGTAGCTTTTTATCATACTGGTAGTATTAGTAGTTGTAGTAATATAATCTTGAATCTTTATTAGATCAAATATTATTAAAGATTCCTTTTCTTCTACATGTCTCTTCAAAACTTGGGCTATTCTGGCTCTCCACAACTTTCCACTCTTAGTCAAGTATTTTTTGCTATTCTTCCTACTCTCCATTCTGCCAAACGAGTAGGTTATTTGCTGCTTTCCTGTTGCCCCCACACCCTGACTTTTTTTTTTTAATCATTTCACCCCAAGCAAGACAGTAATAATGCTACTAAAATGCTGGGTGCTACATGGAGTGAAAGAGAAGACTGAGAATAGAGAGGATTCAGGGAAAGCCAAAAAATAAAAATGAACAGGTTTCAAAAAGATAGAAGATGGTAATTGATATGTATTTAAATTTTTGAAGATTGTAGTTATCAGGGAAGCAAGAAAAACGAAGGGATTTCGATGGATGGATATTGCAAAAAAAGAAACAGAGTAGAAGTGCCAGTTGCATTTAGCTATTTCAACAATAAAAAAGTGAGACCTAGTTGCCAATCTAGTAACACAGGTAAATTCATGTAGAAAGAACAAAGAGATGCCACTTCACATTGATGAGAAAGCAAATGAAGTTGAGATACCTTGTCTGAATCGATTACATTACAGATCCTTCTTTGGATTTTGTCAAGAATCTCTAGCAGTACAGACTAGATATGGCAACAGTATTCAATGCATGGATGAATGGTAGATTTATATATGTGCAAGATGGATTCTGACAAAAAAATTTTCTAGTACAGTGAACCAATTTTACTTACAGTATATGAAGCAAATGACTCAATATATTCTCTCCATCTCAAGTCAGTGGAAAATGTAAGGTCAAGAAGGCTTGTCTTCACTATGTCCTATGTGTGTCATATTCTTCAAGACCTCTTTCCTTATTATGTGTCCAAGAAATTTCAACTCTTCTAATTCTAAGTGTCCTTTTTCTCTCCATAAAACTTTCTCATTACTTGCATATAATTCTGCCTACTAGCTAAATAATAATGACAGTTAAAAAGAATGTATATAAAGTTAATATAATATTTGAATATAGAAACAATTTTAGATTTCGCTTAACCAGTAAAGAAAATCCTTTTAGCTAATGTTTTTAGCAAAAGGATAAATGAGGAAGTGTTTAAATCTATTATTTCATGCTTAGAGTTTGTTGTGTATATATTTGTTTTGTCGTGCAATAAAAGAAAAGTTTTCATCCAATAAAAATCTATTCATGGTAATTCAGTGCTGAAGTTTGGAAAGTGATTAACTGGAAATGGGTTTGTTATTACATTTTGTCAAGAAACTTAATAACTGTCATCAAATGTAAGGATTTTACTTCTGGAATTAATTTTAAATCAAAATAACATTATTAGATTGGTGATAATTGAGTCCATAACAACAGAAATTATTTGGTTAGATGAAAGTATATCTTCTCTAAAAGGATTAATCAATTGTCCAACTGGAAGTAACTTATGAATAATTCTGTATTAAATTTCTTTACAGCAGCAAATAAGTCAATTGTGTTACACATGACTGTAATCATAAAATTATGGTAAAAAAATGAATCACATTAGAATATTTTATCCCATATTGAGTGCATAGAGAAAAGTATCGAACTTGTTATAATATTGGCCAAAGTTAAATTGCTTCAGTAAAATAATATGTATGTGCCTATATATATATATATATATAAAACATTGTCTGGATAAATTTAAACCATTTCATAATCTCAGTCTGATGAAGCAGGTATTAAAAATTTACCTGTTGAAATAAATTTATTATTGGATCTTTTCAGATGAGTTAAGTTTTTCCTTTGATATATATATATATATATATATATATATATATATATGTAGGTATGTATGTAAGCAAATATATGGATATAGATCCGACAGTATGTAGAAAATATACTGAAAAAACAAACAAAAATCCTAATATGCGATTATGCTGTTTTAATGTTTAATGTCAACGTCGGACGTTTCGGTCTAATAGACAATCTTCAGGACATATTCATGAAACATAATTAACATAGACCATATACAATTCAACATGAAGAAGACGATGGACATAAAAGCAATACCAATCCAAACAGATAACTGAAATCTTGACCTGGCTTTTAAGATCTAGCATGATTAATGCTCAACAAACGTACATATAAGTTTTTAGGATCAAAATAAAATTCTTTTCGTTTTCATTCAAAATACCAAATTTTAGGAATACGTTTTCACAACATTGCCCACGTGACGACGACGTGGATCATATTTAAATGGAATGCTGATCTTATAAAAGCTTTCTGTTATCTGTTTGGATTGGCACTGTTGGCTAATCTAGTAGACATTATTAAGGTTGTTTTTTTAACTAAATATGTAAATTTTTATATCTGTCAGGATAGGAATGTTTTTTTTAAATTTCTGAACACAGAATATTGTGACCATGCTCATAGTTGATATTATTGAGAATTGATTTGTCTTTTATTATTAATGCTTCCATTATTTTAACTGTTTTTGCATGTAGATGATGCTATTATGGTTGAATTTCCACAAGTGTGTTGCAGACAAAGGTTTTTCTATAAAAATTAAACACACATTAATTATAAACAGAATGAATTTGCTTTTAGTAACATTATTAAGAAATCCACAACCCCACTTAACCAGAACAAGAAAATTAAGTTAATTATCTATTATAAAAAATTGAAAAAAGCTAATCTCATGATCAACAATAGCAAATCACCTGCAAGACCCAAACTACAGTATTGATGGTATTAAAAACCTGTTTTTACACTTTCATAGTGTTTTTACCCCAGTTTTGGGGTTAACTATTTGCCCATAGCTGGGACCCTAACAGCTGCTACCACCTCAGGTCAGGGCAGACCTGGGAACACCAGCAATTAAGAGGTGGTTCCACGTATCTCAAAACCTCCTTGCTGTTGGACATAGTTTATCGTCTTACCCAGGACATGGATGTAGTTTATCATCATACCCAGGACGGTGACATAGAGAGAGATAGATATGAAATACATAGTCAGGTAGATATGAACAGCTTTAAATAGAGGAATAGATAATCATTAAGCAGATACATAGGAAAAGAATTAAACAGAGAGAGAAATATAAATACTGTAGATACTTATGTCTAAGCAGAATTCATGTATAGTGTTAGCTCAGTTTTTTTTTGCATGAATTTTAACAACTTCAGAAAAAATTACCTTTGTATAGTGCAACCAGTCACTGAAAATGCATGATTTTTAACATCTTCAAAAAAAAAAAAAAATTAACTGATGTGATCCTAAAAACTCCGACTATACATGAGTATATATGATAGGTGTGCAGGTAGATATGAACAACTTTAAATAGAAAAACAGATAATATTTAGGCAGATAAATATGAAAACAATGAAATGGAGAAAGAAATATAAAGTAAATATCATATATACTCATGTTTAAGTTGACTTCATGTGTAGCGCAACACCTGAAATTTTTTGCATGAACTTTAACCCCTCGACAAAAAAATTACCTGCATATAGTTTAACCAGTCACCAAAATGCATGATTTTTAACCTCTTCAAAACAGATTACTGTGTATAATGCGACCTGCACATTTTTCTTTCATAAAAATTGATTAGAAAAACTCACACTATATATATTAGTATATACAACAGGTAGGTAGATAGATATGAACAGATTGCAATAGAAATAGAGAAATAGATAATAAATATTTAAGTATCAAAAGAATGAAACAGAGAGAGAGATAGATAGACACAAAATAAGCAGATTCTGTGGATACTTTGAAACAATTTTTCTTAGAGAAATTCACACTATTTTTCCTCCATTTTTTTTTTTTTTTTTAAGCATTACGCCCCGAGCAAGGTGTGAAGCCACTAGGATGCAGGGGGTTGCAGAAGATTTGGAGCAAGAGCAGATAGGAGTGATAGAAGAAAGGATGAGGAGAGGGATAGTGTATAGATCAAGGTAACTGGAGATGTTGATTGACATTACATTTGAATAGTTGGAGATTATAGCTCTCAGGGAAACAGTAATTGGGAAGGGTGTTCCACAGGCGAGAGGTGTGCGATGTATGAAGCTATTGGAGTAGAAAGAGACAGCTACATTTAAAAGTTTCTACAGTGTAAGGGTGGGAAGGGATGCCATTTTGCAGGGGCAGGGCACTTGAATTCATGGAGTCTGGGAACCAGTGAAAGCAGCTCATCGGAGCAATTACCATGAAAGTATTATTCTATTCCTGTTTACAAATCCTCCTTATCATTACTCAAGCTTTGGATATTCCTTATTTTAAATTCCTTCTACAGATTTTCTATAGGACTTATGTCAGGTAATTGTCTTGACCACTGAAAAAAATCTTATTTTCTTTTACTTTAACTACTCATTTTCACTGTAGTACATTTCTAATCTTTATGATACTAAAACATCCAACTCTTAAGATATTTTACAGATTGAAACAAGTTTTTCTTTAGTATTTTGCAATAAATACCAATGTCCACTGTTCCTTCAATGATAGGTAGTACCTTTCTACTTGTTGGAGAAAAACAACCACAAGTCATTCTAGTTTCACCAAAATGTTTAACTATTTAGAGGTTTATAGGAAGTGCAATTTTTCTCCAGATAGGTCTTGAACAGTTCCAACCAAAGAGTAATAATTTGAATTCCAAACTGCAAATTTAATTCTGTTTTATTCATAATTTCAGAGTGCCCCCCAAATTTCTGTGCACCACTTAGAGGTTTAATTTTCCTAAAAATTTTTGTGTAAATGAAAAAATTCTCGCCTGTGAACACCCTTCCCAAAAAATTCTTATTTCTGCTTAAATAGAAAAAATAAACAAAGTATTTGTCATGTTCAACTTAATTTTTAGATTTGTAGAAATATTAAAAATGATTCTTTAAAAAAAAAAAACATTTAAAAAGTTTATGTGTTCAATATTTTTATGTGACAGTAGATATGAAATAGGTTGGGAGATAGATATGAACAAACTAAAATAGAGAGATATAAGTAGATAAAAATCAGCTGAAATAGAGAAGTAGATAGATATAAAATAAGTAGATCAATATGAACATATTGGGATAGAAAAGTAGATACATATTTAATAGGTAGGTAAATAGATATGAAGAGACAGAGAGAGAGAAGTGGCAAGATATAAAAGATTGGCAGATATATGAACAGACTGAGAGGGAAAATACATAGGCAGAGAGATATGAACAGAGTGATAGAGAGAGGCGGAGAGATATGAACAGAGTGATAGAGAGAGGCGGAGAGACATGAACAGAGTGATAGAGAGAGGCGGAGAGACATGAACAGAGTGATAGAGAGAGGCGGAGAGACATGAACAGAGAGGTGGAGAGATATGAACAGAGTGATAGAGAGATATGAACAGAGTGATAGAGAGAGGTGGAGAGATATGAACAGAGTGATAGAGAGAGGTGGAGAGATATGAACAGAGTGATAGAGAGAGGTGGAGAGATATGAACAGAGTGATAGAGAGAGGTGGAGAGATATGAACAGAGTGATAGAGAGAGGTGGAGAGATATGAACATCAGAGGATAGAGAGGTGGAGAGATATGAACAGGGATAGAGAGTGGGAGAGATATGAAATAGGTAGGCAGGTAATGGCAGAATGGTAGGAGAAGGTAGAGATAAGGAAATGACAGGCAGATAGATATGGAATAGACTGAGAGGAGAAGGCGGGTGAAAACAGAGAGGAAGATATAGAACAGATAGTGAGAAAATAGGCAGATATGCTGATAGTTGAATATCAACCGAAAGAGAGCTGAGATATGAAATAGGCAGACATATATGAACTGACTTAGAGAAAGAAGTGAAGAGATTTGAAATGGATAGACAAATAGAGACTGAGAGAGAAGTTCAGAGATATGAAATGGATAGACAGAAAGATATGAACAGACTGAGAGAGAGTAGTGGAAAGATATGAAACAGATCAGCAGATAGATATGAAAAGACAGAGATAGAAGTGGAGAGATATGAAGGACAGGCAGATAAATATGAACAGATTGAGAGAGAAAAGTGGAGAGAGCTTAAATCGATAGGCAGATAGATATGAACAGATTGAGAGAGAAGTGGAGAGATTTGAAATAGATAGGCAGATATGAACAAACTGAGAAAGAAAAATGGAGCAATGAAATAAAAAGATATGAACAGACTCAGAGGGAGAAATGAATGATTATGAAATAGAGAGGTAGATAAATATGAACAGACTGAGAGGAAGAAGTGGAGAGATATGAAATGGATAGTGAGATAGATATTAACAAATTGAGAGAAAAGTGGAGATAAGTTAGATAGGCATATAGATAACAACAGACTGAGTTAGAGAAGTAGAGAGATATGAAATAGAGAGATAGATATGAACAGATTGAGAAAGAGAAGATATGAACTGACTGAGAGAGTAAAGTGGAGAGAGATGAAATAGACAGATATATATGAACTGTCCAAGAGAGAGAGGTGATGAGATGTGAAACGGACAGATACATAGATATGAAAAGACAGAGAGAGAGTAGTGGAGAGATATGAAATAGATCAGCAGATATATATGAATAGACAGAGATAGAAGTGAAGAAAGACAGGCAGATAGATATGAACAGATTAAGAGAGAGAGAAGTGGAGAGATGTGAAATAGGCAAATAGATATGAACAGACTGAGAAAGAGAAATGGAGATATTAAATAGAAAGATATGAAGAGATTGAGAGGGAGAAGTCGAGAGATATGAAATAGATAGGCAGATAGATATGAACAGACTGAGAAAGAGAAATGGAGATATTAAATAGAAAGATATGAAGAGATTGAGAAGTCGAGAGATATGAAATAGATAGGCAGATAGATATGAACAAACTGAGAAGGAGAAGTCGAGAGATATGAAATAGAAAGGAAGATATGAAGAGATCAGGATGGATAAGTAAAGTGTGTTTAAGGTCTTATATAAATTTGTATGTGCTTTAAAGTGAAAAATCTCCTGAAAAAAACAGACAAAAAATAAACTGAAAAAAAATTGTAAAGATAATGAAAAGAAAAAAAAAGAGAACAACAAAAGCTCAAGAAGTGATATATTTATGAATTTACTTAAAAGCAAAAAGAACTAATTGCTAATTTTATATTGCATATCAAGATATTCCGGTTTCTTTTCTCTATCAGATTTGAAAATCTCGTTGCATCCTACCACACTAAAATTAATATAAAGACACAAATGTAAAGAAGAAAATTGTGAAGATGAAGTCTCTAAATAAAAAGCAGAAGACGGATAATATCTTAAATTATTAGAAGAATCAATGATCATCATAAATTGTTAGGGGGCAGTAATAGCAATAAGGAGGAAAAAAGATCACAAAAAGGAAAATAAGTTGAAAAAGAAGAATAGAAAAACAAGAGAATGGAAGAAAAATAAAAGTTGAAATGAAGAAAGAAACATGAATAAAGAACGGATAAAATGAAGAATATGAAAAATGATGACAAGCAACAGTTAAAGACGATGGACACAAAAGAAAGTTTTGCTACAAAAATAATGCATTATGGGTGGGAGGTAAACGTACGTAAAAATCTGGCAGAAAAATAATCGATTGAGATAAAAGAATTGAGCCGAAGGACTAAAGGGCACTTAAAGAGATCTTTTCATGAGTTTCTCAATTCTTAGCTTTCAATTGTAAAGAAAGACTTGGGTCTGTTTAGAGTCTTCAATGAATACCAATGGCGATTTATGTTGGGTAAGTGGATTTCACTCCAATACCTACCACCTTACCAAACCATCTATCCAACTATTCTGTCCATTTTGCCTCCATTCCACTTCCATTATACCTCAATTTATCTTTCCAACTATTAATATTTATACAGAAAGTAAACTCTGTCTTTCTGAATAAAGTCCTTCCATATTTTTTGGGCACTTGAACACTGACATTTTTTTTTTTTAACTGAGCAATTTTCAAAGATTTTAAGCTATTCAACCTTTACAGTGAAGCAATCTTGAGAGAATTAGAAGTCTGACCAGGATTCAATATTGGCAATCACAACCTTAATGACATGAGATATGCAGATGTCACAGTGTCAAAAGTAGGCATAGAAAGTAAACTACAGGAACTTTGGCAGAAGGTAGCAAAGGAAAGTGAGAAGAAAGAACGAAACATCAACTGTAAAAAGATAGAATATATGGTTGTCAGTTAAAAAAAGAAAGAGCTCAACATGTGAATTACAAATATGATGAATGTCAAAATCAAAAAATACAAAATTTTAAATATTTCAGAAGTTTTTTAACAGAGGATTTCAAATGGGACATTAAAATCTGAAGATACATTAGGATAGCAAAAGATTCCTTCAAAAACTTGAGTAAAGTATGAAGAAACAAAAAAATTTCACTGAAAACAAAGAGTACTAAACTGTTATGTAATATTGGGATACCTATATGACAGCAAATGTTGGAACATGTCCTCACAGACAGAAAAAAGAGGTGAGACAACAGAAATGTGGTTCTACAGAAGGTTGCTGAAAATAACAAATATGAGAGCAAAACTGAAGTTTTAGAGAAAAAGGAAACAAAAAGGACACTTATACATAGTATCAGAAAGAACCACATGAAATTCTACTATCATAATGTGGAAAGAGGGCTTGGAAAATTGGACACTCACAGGACATATTGAGGGATAGAGAAAATCAGTACAAAATTTACCTAACGAGCTTGTGCAAATGGTTGGTAGGAAAATGAATAAGGAGATTAGGTGAAAAGACAAAATTTACAAAGGTCTATAAAGGAGAAAAAGTTCTTAAGAACCATGATTGCCAATGTCTTGAAGAGACATGGCAATTAGAAGAAGTTTATATAATTTGCAAGTGCAAATTTGGTATTAAGATTAGCCATTTCCTTATAAGGAAACATTTAGCATTCATTGACTGTAAAGATAATTTTATTGTCTCTTCAAAATAATAAAATCTTTCCATTAAATCATTTTTTCAGAAAAATAGATTGAAATTAAAACTAAAATAAAATCTTCAAGAAAGATTTTCATTTTTAAAAATTCTTTTAAGACTTTAGGTATTTTGTTTTTTTAAGAGGTCAAAATAAATGCCCACACATATACATACACACAGATTCTACAATTTTTCTATGTACATAGATACACACACACACACATATATATATATACATACATATACACATATATACATTCTTATATATACATAATGATATATATATATATAGATATATACACACATACAAATATTCATATATACGTATATGCAATGCATATATGTGTGTGCATATATATGCATATGTATACATATATATACGTTGTTATCAAAAGTTCGCAAATAGTGTTATGCGCATATATGCTGAATATATATATATATAACCACATAATATATATAAACTTCATATATGCATATATATATATATATATACATACAAATACGGAACCTATACAAATCCATATGTTCCAACATACATACATACAGGTTATATACATGGCGGTACATACATATAACAACGATGAACATATATGCCTCTTCCTCATATATAGGGTCATATATACTGATTATATATATGGACATATATACACATACATATATATATATACATATATACAAGACAGCGCCGTTTATAGGCCAGACGACACAAGAATGGATATATATATCGCCATATTCTCCATATATATATATATATTATAGATCTCAGATCTGAATATATATATCTATACATATATACATATATTAATCAACGCATATATACACTATAAAAACATCCGTATAACTAGCAAAATGTCCAAAATCGATAGAGTTCATCTGATTCGGGAATGTTATCGTTTCTGACCTCGTATTGAAGCAGTCATCGATGGTAATGGCGGAATTAGGTAGATGCGCCAAAGAGAGCCTCAAGATTAATCATGCCATTTTTTCTAAAATATACCTTTTTTTCTTATACGTCTTTTATTAAATTCATATAAATATACTTAAAGAACCGAGTAATCTTTGTATATCATACATATATACACATATATACATATATATATATACACACACACACATATATACATACACATATACATACACATATACACACATACATACATATATAAACACACACACATACACACACACACATCAAACACACACACACACACACACACACACACACATATATATACATACATACAACACACACACACACATACATAAACATACATATATACACATATATATATACATATATATATATACATACATATATATATATACATATATATATATACATATACATACATACACATACATATCTAAATACATACACACACATACATACACATACATATATATATACACATACACATACACACACACACACATAAATATACATATATACACACACATAAAACACATATATATATACATATACATACATACATCTATATATATATATATATACATAGATATAAATATATATATATATATACACAGATACACACATATATATATATATATATATATATATATACACATAGACATATACACATAACTATATACATGCATACATATACGTACATATATATACAAATGCACGTATACATACATACACATATATGTAATAACATGTATATATATATACATATGTATATATACATGGATACATACATATATATATACATATATATACATGGATACATACATATATATGCAATATATATATACATGAATACATACATAAGCTTATATACATATATATACATGGATACATACATAAACATATACATATATATATACATGGATACATACATAAACATATACATATATATATATACATGGAATACATACACATATATATACATATACATATATATATACATGAGATACATGTACATATATACACAAGTATATAAATACTGGATTTTTGTTTGTTTTCAAAACTCATTTCTGTCAGTTTATATCCATTTACGCCTTATATACTGTCTATAAAGCACAAACCTAAAATTCGTTTTACAACATGGAAGATTGCAGGCTTATCAGAAGCACAGGAATTTTAAAATAATCACGAACTTTTAGGAATACGTTATGGGAGCGTCCTTATGTGACTGCAGCGTGACCACGTTAAACGGAAGCTGATCTTTTAAAAATTTTCAGTTATCTGTTTTACTCTTGATAAGACTTGTGTTTTTTGTCCATCGTTTTCGTCATATTGAACTGAATTTGTATTTTAATGAATTTTTGTCTTGAAAATGGTTTATTAAAACCGGTAAAACGTCTGGACGCCGACAATTCTTTCATTTTAACTACATTTATGGATTTTTGTTTGTTTTCAAAATTTCTACATACGCCGTGGTTCCAAATAATATTTATCGATAATATTTTCTGGAATCACAATATTGATTTTCATTAGGATATCCCTTCGTAAATAATTAAAGATCGCAAAGAAATTTTTTAATTCGAACTGTTTTAATCAATTACTGAATCATGAGGAATCCGTTTCGTTCTTTTTTCATTTACGAACACGCATATATATATATATATATATATATATATATATATATATATATGAAAAAAAATATACAGTGTTAGAATTATATCAAAAGGCGAAGATTTTTTAAATGAATTTGTATGTTTTTCCCCATTTTGTCAGAAATCTACAATTTGGCAAATATGTAAAATGGATTATCCCTTCGTCAATATTCAGACTTAATTCGATATACAGCTATCAATTAAATTCGTTATTTGAGAAATAAGTATAATACAGGGTAATAGTACGATGATCATCCAGTACATAGTTTATGTCAGTGGAACAATGTGTTTTTAACAATATCGCTTTGTTTATGCATCTATGTAATATTCCTATATAAGTTAACTGGTTAAGTAACACAAATATCACACACAACTTTTTATACACATAACCTATTTATACACAGGCAAAAATATTTGATACAGAAGTATGAAGCTCCAGGTCATGCTATCGACGTTGGATATTATGTATAATCACGAATAAATACTACTGACTCTCCATTCATAATATTGAATACTGTATTTATATAACAGGAATAAATGTATTTATAGTATGCGTTGCAAATATATGAGTATAATATACTTTTAAAAAATGATTACTTAACTGGTGATATCATTTTGTTGTTTTCCCTATTTTTTCAGATTTGGTAATAACATTCTTCAAGTGGATCTATTTTAAAATTATATTAATTTTTTCAATTTATTCACTGCCCTTTTCAATCCGTTTTGTACATGTTTGCATTTATGAATTTAACGTTCTTTTTCTAGGCGCAGGTAGAAAACAGTTATTTTGTTTTGTTTTAGGTCTTTGACTTGAATTTGTTAATTCTTACGAAATTAAATTTTTCTATAGATGTTAAATTTATTTTCATACCAAAACAAGAAGTTGTTACACCAATTTATTAACTAAATACCAAGATTTGTAAATTTGATATT